GGACATCCGGAGGTTGAGATCGTCAGGAATACCGACGGCTCGACCGCCGGCTATCGCCGGTAAATGAACCAGTGGTCTACCGGCGCTTGCCGGCGGTTTAAGAAACAAATGACGCCCACCTAAACCGCCGGGAGACCGTCGGTAATTTGACCACCGGTCAGCTGTCGGTCAGATAACCGGCGGCGTAACGGCCGGCAAACCGCCGGTTCCAAATCCGGTTGTCACCGGCGGTATACACTGACGGAAAATCGCCGCCAACATAAACCGCCGGTAAAAAAACGCCGGTAGAAGTTTCCTATACCATTTTTTCCGGTGGTTGGAAAATCGCCGTAAAGCCGCCGGTAATACATAAAACCGCCTGTTAATCTAGCGTAACCGCCGGAAAAAACCGCAAGATTTCGACGTTTTTCCTGTAGTGCGGTTGCTCACCCACAATTTCAGTGTTCAAATAAAGGATTTGACATCCACAGGTATACAATCGGGTAGCGTCCAGTGGTCTTGAATAATGAAATCCCTAACCCACATATGAGCAAAATGGTGAGAATAAAACATATTCGAAACAGCTTTCTTATTGCACTAAGGATCCTAAAGGAAAGAAAGTTTGCAATTCCAGTGAACAGAGAGGGAAATGACAGAGGAAATGGAAGCCGCCGTGCGGCAGAATAATTTCCAAAATTTAGAAGCTGAAGTAGGGGGCAGCTTCCAAAGAGAATCATACTTCTCTCTATACTAGGTGCCAATCAAAGTATTATCATTGTACATCCTAAAAATAAAAGAACAAGTCATATTGTGATAAAGAGATTCAAATGATGGCAGGCCAAGTTGTCCTTTATTTTTTAGGTAAAGTCGCAGATTTTCGAGTAATGAGATGCAACCTCTTCTCCATGGTTTTGCCAAAAAAGAGGAACTTGGAACAAATTCTAGAGATAAATTTGCAACAAGTTTTAGGTAAAATTTCCCCGCAAATCCAATAAGCTATAGTGTTGGCAATAGTGAATTTCAAGTATTGCACTCTACCTAAAAAAGAGAGAAATTTAACTTTACAACCCTCAAGTAGAGTAGAAATTCTACTCAGTAGGGGTTGGAAGTGAGAAAAATTGAGTCTGTAAGAAGAATTGGGAAGGCCCAAATAGGTAAGAGTGTTTTCAACCCAAGAAATTCCAAGACATGCAGAGATCTGTTGTCCACAAGAAAAATCTCTAGAGAAAAAAATGGAGCTTTTAGAAGGGTTGATGTGAAGGCCGGAGGCATTAGCAAAGTTGTGGAGAATATCATTCAGGGAATTTGCATTATCAACAGTGGCTAAGACAAAAACCAACAGATATCTGCATACATGAGATGATTACAACTAAATTTTTTATGCTGCAAACCAATGAAAGATTGATGATCCTTGGAATCCAGACTAGAAGATAGAGCATCCATAATGATGCAAAAGAGCAGGGGAGAAAGTGGACATCCATGTCTCAGCCTAGAGGAGGAGTTAAAGAAACCTTCCAAAACACCATTAAGACAAATGAAGAAATGAACTTCAGAAATACACCCATTAATCCACGTGATGAAAGTATCCGGAAAACCTTTTTGCTTAAGCCTGTTGATAAAAAAGGTACGTGAGACAGAATTAAAAGCTTTCTTGATGTCCAAGTTGGCACATAAATAATTTTTACCCCCTTTAAAATCTCTTAAAATTTCTGAGGCAAGAATGATGTTGTTAGTATAACATCTCTTAGCAATAAATCCAGACTAGCTCTCATGGATGATGGTGGGAAGGATGGGTTTCATCCTATTAACAATAATCTTGGCCACAATTTTATAAAACACATTGCATAAAGATATAGGGCGATAATCAGATATAGAGTTGGAATGAGTACCCTTAGGGATATGGGTGATGGTCGTGGCTTTAGCCCCTCTAGGCATCTGCCGAGTAGAGAAGAAATGTTTAACAACTCTACAAAGTTGAAAGCCAATAATGTGCCAAGTATGTTGGTAGAAACCAAAGGAGAAGCCATCCGGGCCTGGGGCAGATGAGGTGGTCCCTACAAATACCACCTTCTTGATTTCCTCATTAGTGACCGGACATAACAAACCCGCAATTAAATAGGATGGAATAGTATTACCAACAGGGATATTAAAAGAGTTTTCCAAAGGTGGAGTAGGAGCATTATAAAGTATCTTAAAATGGTTAATCAAAGCTTGGGCCTTATCAGCATGAGATGAGAGTAAACCATGAGGAGAAGAAAGTTCCTTGATAACATTCCTGTTATTCCTCGATCGAATCTTTGCATATAGAAAACCAAGATCCTCCCCGGGAAAGCCAATGGGCTTTGGCTCTTTGAGAAATCCAAGAGAACCAGGCAGCTTGAAAGGAAGCTAACTGGTCATTAGTGTTCTTAAGAGCAATGTTCAATGCAAGGTTTAAAGGTTCCCTTTGAATATCAGATAAGTATTGAAACTGCAAATTTTTTAGCTCAAGAATGCTATTAGAGATATAATTAGAAGAACACCAATTCTTCTTGCGAATAACCACTTTAAGATATCTCAAACATTCATAAAAGGAAGCAATGGGACTAGCACAAGGTGTCCTCTCAAAAGCCAATTGAGTTTCCACCCAAAAATCATCCAACTTAGTCCAAAATTCTTTAAACATGAACCTAGAAGCCATTCTTCTGAAATGGGAAGAATAAATAATCAGGGGGGCGTGATCAGACCCAGAGTAGGAATCTACTTTGTAGTAAGCAGTAGGAAAAACATCTAAAAAAGTAGAGTTGACCAACATTCTATCAAGCTTGATATGAATTGGAAAATCAACCCTTTGATTAAACCATGTATAGAATAACCCCACAGAAGCAAGATCCTGAACTCCAAACTCAAAAACAAAATTATTAAGCTCTCCCACACGGTCATGAGACATAGTTACCACCAGCTTTTTCACAGGCAAACCTGAAGCAATTAAAATCTTTCATGATGATCCAAGGGAAATCAATACTAGCAGAAAGACCAAGGAGATCATCCCACGGAACTTTCCTATTATCCAGACTGTTTGCAGCATAAACCACCGAGAGGTGAAAAGGGGGTAAGGATCCGGCATTATCAAGGCCATGAATGACTTGGGAGGAATAGAAAGAAGGGGAAAAGGACAAATGAGATGAGTCCCACTTAACCCAAATTCTACCAGGAGTAGATAGGTTAAAGTTATCACAACTTTGCTCATTCTCAAATAAGGCATGTGTAAAAGAAAACCAAGGGTCAGCAATAGCAACATCATTGATTTTAGCTTCTAAAATACATAAAAGCTTTAAATTGTAGGCGGTTATAAGGTCTTTGCATAATTTGACTTTGACAGGGTTGTTAAACCCTCTAACATTCCAAGCCGCAATAGGTGGAAGGGACATGGTTATTTGTGTGGCTTGGCCTTTTTGGCCGATTTGGATTTGGCTTTTTTTGGAGGAGATAGGTTATCACCAGATGATTTTTTTGAGGGGGAAGAAGCTTTGTGGTTTGAGGATTTAGGAGGGATGACCTCATCTATTTTAAAATTTTTATGAATTAAAATTATCATTGTGGTTTTGGAAAAATTTTAAATAATATTTCTGAACAAAATTTTAAATTATCTTCGATGAGAGATAAACCCTTAATTATTTGTAGACTACTTATTAGACTTATAAGTCATTCAAAAATTCAATGTCCATTATTTTTTAGTTAATTTATTATTAAATCCTACAAAAGTATATGAGAAACTTTACTGTAAATTTTTTGTATATGTCATAAATGTACAAGTAATGACTTAAATTCTTGAATGTTTAAGTATTATTTGATTATTAATTATAAAAAAATAAAATCACCTAAAAAAATTAGGGATATATTAAAAATTATAAATTTGTGCCACCTCTTATTAAATTAGGGATATATTAAAAATTATAAAATAATTAGTAGCTAGATTTTGGATTTTCCCTCTTATTAAAATTTTACACAAAATATACAATAAAAGCTAAAAATGGACACTTAGGAATAATGAAAATTTATCAAATTTTTTACTTTAAAATTTAATGATATTTTAATATTGGGTATTTCCTAAAATTTAATAAATTTACGGTTTTAAAATAGAAAAAGCACAAAAAACGTCCAATCAAACTAGGCCTAAATTATAAGAATTTAAAATTCTTTTCAAAATTTAACGTTTTTTATGCTATATATGTTAAAATTGGCACATCAACCCATATAAAATTCTTAATTGTTAACCAGTAGCCTGTAAGATTTTTTTAAAATTTTTTTAAAGATTATATATCATTTTCAAGTCTATATTGATCATGAAATTTTATAATATTTTACAGTTAATGTGGGCTACATTATTTTGATTCATTTTAGAAATTCAACCCTATGAGAGCATATTATCATTATATTATAAAATTTATTTGTAGTGTAATGCAAAGTATAAAAGCAAACAAAATACTTTTTATGAAATTAAAGAAATGTCTCCATATGGAGGAAAATGAGAACATTGCAAAGTATTTGAAGGCAAAGACTAAAAGATAGAAAATTGCCGGCCTAATAATGGATTCTTTCTTTTAAGTTAATAAGAGTTTGTTGGAAGAAGCAAAGGAGATAACCAACCAATTGGGATTTTTATTTTACATAATAGAAGGGCTTATAACAAGTCTCATTGTTGCTTGTGAGGCAGATGAAGAATTGCTTGGTAGTAGTGGATGGTATGGAACAAGTGGTGCCCTTTACATGATGAGTGGTCATGCTTGCTTTACCAAGTTGCCAATGAGAGTTTTTTTTCCCAATATTTGTCAATTATCTTTATTGGCACATGTGACATTTGATTAAAAAAAAAAAAAGTTAAAAAATGAAGAAGGTACAAGGACACTCGATGAAGCAAGGAATATTCACATTTAAAATTGGCTCATAATGTACACAAATAATCATCTAGGTCAAATCAATCAAATCTTAGATCAGGCTTGAAATAAGTTTAGGAACTCGATGATTGTAAATCGACTTGAGCTATCACAAAAAACCGCAAGTTACTTAAGACTAAATCTTGCCAAATTGTCCAAGAGTCAACACTACTCGGCTTTGAGTGCTAGTGACTTATCTTTGAGGACTCATGAAGTCATCCATTCACAAAAGTGACTTGCTTAAGAAACTCAACTAGTTGTCGTGAGCACTTATTAGCTGATTGGAGTGTTCGTTTAGAAGAAATCTCCTTGGGTTTTCACCCTTAATTTGGTACTCATTAAAGTTTCTAATTAGTGGCTCATTACAAGTTAGACTTACATGCTATGCAATTGAGAACATTAAGGTCAAGACAAATTTATTTTTAATGTAGCCAATTTTGTAGCATTGCCCTTGTCTTTCACCTTTAATCAAGCATACGCAAAATGTAATATTATTATTTTGGCTAAAATTCTATCTCACTGATCTTTTTGATATTATCTCTTAGATTCTCTTCAAAATCTTATTTTATATTTATATAAATTGTCTTTGTACCTAAGCTTAATTTTCACTTATCAGCTTAATGGGTTCAATTGAGACTTATGTAGAATAATTTGAAGGAGAATAACTGAGGCTCAATCTACTCCCTCTTTACTTCTATTCTTAAGATTCAATTTACATTTTTAAGACAATCTTGATACTATATGGATTAATTCAATATCCTCTTAGGCTTGTTGAGAATTATGCCAAAGATAAGGAATAATATCACCTTATGACAAGAAAATTTTCTTGTAATTTGAGTAATGGAGTATCTTTGTCACCTCAAAACAACAACAGAACATGGAGGATGACTATACAATGATGATGTAAGGGATCATTGAGCGCTTTCATCATGCAACTCCTCATGAACACTATCCTTGAGAAAGACAAACAACCATCTATCCAGGGCACTAAAGCAATCTCATTTTCAAAAGTTGTTGCCACGATACTTTTAATAATGAGCATTATCTCCCATAAGAGCTATTGTGTAGATTCTTCTCTATCATTACTCAATAAACCATTAGGCTCAACGTAGGAATACTCGCTTAATGGAGATCATAAATGTTTAGCCATCATAGAAATTTAAGAAGCATGTTTTGGATTCCTATATGGGGACATTAGAATTGATTGACCTTTTTTTTTTTTTGAGTTGACCAACTCCTTTTTAACATTTAATGTGACACCAAGGTGGTTCTCTAGCTTATCTTCGAGGAGATTACCTTCGTCAACTTCAGGTTGTCATTTAAGGCATAATTCACCAGTAATCAAAAGACATTAAAGAATTCTTAGGCTTTATTGTATATGAACACAAGCATGGCTAATCAACTTGTTATCACTTCAAGTTAGATATGCTTAATGTTAAAAACATGAAGCTTGTACTCACCTATATTGCTCACTTAGGGCCTTGAGGAAGGTCCTTCATGCTACAATATCAACTTATAATAATAAAAAATATATGTTGAGGTGGTTGAGTTAACACATATTTATAATAATACAAAGGCATAAAATTACCGAACCATGATTTTAACTTCTAAGTTGCAATAGCCAAAACCCTACGAGGACTCTGAATGGCACTACCAAGGCTAGGGGAGAAGTTGTCATGCCCCGATATCTAAATTAAAAGATTTGTCTATTTAATCTTTTTAATAATTTATTAGAGCTTCTATAAATCATCAATATAAATCAATATCCAGTAGAAGCAACTAAAGTATCATACACAAAAAAAATATTTAACTATTATTCATTCACCAAAATCACAATAGCTAGGAGATCACTAACAATCAATAATTCATCAATAGTTACTGACTACAAAAGAATAAAAGAAAATTCAAAACAAAATTAAACAAAGAATTTGGGAATCTCAATCAATCTCACTATACATGATCCTAAACCCTGACATCAAATCGGTAAAATTACATAATGAGCTTACAAAGTTCATCAGAAATCCAAAACTCGTTAAAGCTTTCAATAAAAGATTTAATAAATTAATATGTATGCTCATCTCAATTAATAAAATTGGTAGTGTTCAATGCTCAATCATCACTTGTACGATTCAATATGATCAATAATAAAAGAGTAAAATTAACATGCTTAAATCCATAGATCAATAGTGTAAAAATGTGCAATGAAAAAATCATTATTGTGGCATGAATATACATGTGTCAATGTCATTAGTTTTGCCATTCTTATCAATTATATATTTTATAAAATCATTATGTATAATGCACCCACTTCTCTATATATATATCATTGTTATCAATGCTATCAATGTATGAATTACATCAGTATATAATTAAGTATATCAACCAACAAGGCATGACATCTAGCTTTAATGTGGTGTTTTCATTGATTCTTTTGTATTCATTATTATCATTGGAGTATCTTTATCATTTTATTATTACAGATGAATTTCATTAATCATTTAAGAGTCATTATCCTCTACCCTTCGACATAACTTGATCATCAATTACATGCGACAACTAGGATAACACAACAAATTATCTTTAAATGAAACCATGTCGGTCCACCCTAATGTGCAAGGTATTATGTTTTCAAAGCTAACCCGGATTAGTTATAGTATTAACAACCAACCTTCCTTACTTACATACAAATGCTATATATATTTCATATCAATTGTATCAATCACCCTTTCATGCAAGAAATATAATATGAAATGCTTAAATCTTTACAACACATTAAGTTTATATATTAATACATAACTTCAGAAAAGTCATAACTTTCATTTTATCCTATAAAATTTAATAATATTACAGTCAAAATATCCATAAAATTCATATCTATCATATACAAAATATTACATGATAAAGGTGTGATAAATCAGGAGAAAATATATTTTTTATCAATTTAAGAGAGATTAAATTTATCAAACTCAAAATCATTAAAAATTATAGTGATGTTTGGGTTAGTTACAATGATCAGAAGACCTTTTTTAACATATATGATAGATGAAAACAATAAAAAATTGGCATTCTCTCTAATCCCTCTCTCCTCTTCCTCTCCCTTCTCCCTTTCCTTCTTGCATAAGAAACGATTGAAATGGGGAGATGTGGTGGCACTTGAGGTTTTTAGTGCTTAGGTTTAGAGTAAAAAATATATAAACACTTTTAGTGGCATAACATTATAGTGATCCCACCAAGTGCTCCATGTTGAATTCAGAATTATTGTAGAATAGAGGCTCCAATGTTGCAGTGGTGATTTTTAGCACCGCTGTGTAGTTAGACCATGCATCGCAACTCTCCAAAGCACAGCACTGAAGCACTCTAGTTCAAATAGAAATTATTTTTTTTTATTTTTAAAATATATTTTCATATTTTAGGTTATTACAAAAGTCATCCAATAACTATGATAAAGTGGATGAGAAGACACAACATCTCCACCCATAATATAGCTATCACTA